ATTTTCCGCTCGGCCCAAACTTTCTCATCCTCTCTCTCTTTCTCTTTCTCTCTCTCTCTCTTTCTCTTTCTCTCTTTCTCTCTCTCTCTCTCTTTCTCTTTCTCTCTCTCTCTCTCTTTCTCTCGCAGTCACTGAAACTCTATCTCTTTCTCTGTCTTTCTCTCTTATAAAATTATTTTTTTTCTCTCCCTTTTTTTCTTTACTTGTGATTCGTTGTACTTCACCACAAAGATTATATTACGCAACACACAAACACACACACGAGGGGGGCGCTGAAAAGTTCTCAGTCCGACTAAGAACGTAGATTCTGATGTTATTTGGTTATATTTTACAAATGATTTTTAGCACTCACGCATAAGTATTGGATACATGTTATCTTCTGTTATACCTCTAGTTTATGTTCGCCATTTTGCCTGATATTTGGTAAGTAATATCTCGTAAAGTTGTTTTAGTTGTATGTGGAAGGAAAATTAAAAACTCATGGTTGAATCCATTTTTTTTATCAAAGTTCAAAATTACACTATGCAAAAGTATTGGATTTGAAATTTCCAACCGAAACTTTGTATTTTAAAAGACTTTAAATATTCAAATTTTCGATAGTATTGGAATGTTATCTCTGATCAATCAGAGAAGCACACAATTGTTTACAAGATAGTGTTACTAATCATCTGACTCTTTGATGTGCATTCTGCAATTCAAGGATTAAAAATGGCAAAAACTAAAGAATTATCCAGAGATATGCGAGATAGAATCATTGAACGTCATAAAGGAGGACAAGGTTACCGAAAAATTAGCAAAGAAATGAATCTAGCACGAAGTACAGTAGGAAATATCATCAGAAAGTAAAAGAAGTATGGCGACGGTACAGCAAACCTTCCAAGAAATGGAAGACCGAGAAAAATAAATGAGAGTACTTCAAGGTGTTAACGTCTTCGATATCAAGAATATCGTACGCAGAAACCCTGGCTCGAGCTTCTCCAGAGGGAACAACGATTCCGCTTAGGCCGGACTGTACACCCTGTCCTTCAGCCGGCGAAGGAGGTGCTCCAACGCCAAAGCGTAAAGTAAGGGCAACAGCGGGCAACCCTGTCGGACCGACCGAGATAGCGCAAAAGCCATCGACCGTCTTCCGGTCACCTGTACCACAGCACTGGGGGAAGGATACAGGAAGTTCATCCACCTGCAGAAGTCGGGTTCGAATCTGGCGGCCTGCAGGACTGCCTCCAGGTACTGATGGTCAACCCTGTCGAATGCCTTGGACTGATTCAAATTGATCAGCGCAGCTCGCTTGTCGTCTTTTACACCCTCTATGATCGTGCGGATCAGATGCAGGTTGCTTTGAATTGTTCGTCCCCTCACAGCACATGTCATCTTGGGTCGCAACAAGCTCGCGACAACTGACTACAAACGCTCCGTCAGGATCTTGCCAAAAATCTTTAAGTCTGTGTTTAGCAGAGTTATGGGCCTATAATAATCTAAATCCTGCCCAACACCTTGCCCTTTTTCAACAGCGTGATCACACCCCTGGAAATCCGGTTGAGGACGGGCCCCTGGCGGAACTAGTTGTTGATAACCACTGTCAAAATTGGGACAATGATGTGCGACAGCCTCAAATACATTGCGTAAGGCAGGCCATGAAATCCCGGAAACTTGCCTCTGCCGACCTTTTTCAATGCCAAGTGAACTTCGCCTTCTGTGATCTCACCTTTGCAACTAGCCGCTTCTGCCGATGAAATTCGAGGGAAGGCAGACAAATAGCTGTGAAACTCGCCGCCTTTGATACCAGGCTTCTTGGTAAAATGGTTCTCGAAATGCTGCCGAAACGCCTCGCACATATCTCTGGTCGACCTCAGAGTAAACCCCTCTGGGGTAGTGACCTCGCGAATGTATCGATAGGAATCTCGACGGATCTCTTCCTTGCGCAATTCTGCGCCCATGTTCACGGCTTCGTTAGACATCGTTCTTCCACCACCTACTTCCAATAACCGCCCCCATCTAGTCATCTGTTGCTGAAAGTTCCGCCTGTCCAGGAAGAACAGATTGAACTTCCAGTGTCCAGCCATTCTATTTCTACTACCTAACACCCCCCACGGACACAGACAAGTCTATGATCCAAATAGTCTAAACGGTGGAACGTGGGACAATCTAGCAGATCTAGGTCGACCCTTCTGATTAACATTCTATCCAAGTTGCTGGCTACCTGGAGAGACTGCCATTACGCTCCTACGTCCACATCTCTCGTCTCGGATGATCGACCCGGTATCTATCGACAAGCCCAAACTCGCCGATAAGATCAACCAAAATACGATTGTCCGTAGCCTTCCTGCTATCACCCCGCTCCTTGTCTATTTTGGGATTCATCATGGCATCCCAGTCCCCCATTAAGATTAAGCGGGAAGAATCCGCCAGGAACGGCCCCAACTGATGGACAAATTCGACACTCTCTCCATGATCGTTGGGCACATAAACCGCAACGACCCGAAACGAACCACTGCGCACGGCAATATCGACCCCCCTGCACCCACATGAACAAAGTCTACCCTCGCATTCAGGGAGCGCTTGACTATCAAGGAAACACCTCTGGCCGGCCGATCCCCGTATGCTGAATAGACGACAAAGTCGTTAGACAGCACACTAGCATCGACGTCGCAAACAAGGTCTGTCTCCTGGGTCGCGGCCACATCCACACCAGACGACAAGAGATTACGAAGCAGGCGGACAGCCTTACTCCGATCTATCAAGCCACTCACATTCAAACTAGCTAGCTTAATAGACATCTTTTAAGTTTGAAGTTGAAACAGAGACTGGACGAAAATCTGTTGGTGTTCCAGACGACCCGTACCAACTTCGGATGTATTCGTGACAATACCGCCGACATCTGTGGGGAATGTTAATTTTAAAGTCCTATATAGAGAGGGGTGGAGAAGAACCAGGACACTCCTTGCACAATATTGTGAAAGTTTCTTGATCTCCGGGGACTCTTCCTGGATCATCCGGAGTTTCGGGAACGCATCTTTGGCTTCTGCTACTTTAAGGTTTTCCCCTTGTGTTCCTAATCATTGTAATAACACCGGGGGCGTCGGAAAAAGTTCCTTGGATCCTCTGTCGACTTACCGTTAACAGAGGTATACTTGAAGAGAGGCCTCAATTGGGCTTTCTTCTGAGAGGAGAGGTCCCTCTCGAGGAACACCAGGTTGACGACACATATTTTGCCCCCTTCTGCTTCTTTTTTCCTCGGGATTAGTGGGGGGGGAGGGAGACGGGGAAGACGGATCCCTAGTAGAGGGGGAGTGTTGGCTCCCTGTCTTACCTTGCGGGTGCTCTTTTTCCATTCTTGCTGGCGAAGAAGGCGTGGAATGGGCCTTCTCCGCCTTACTCCGACCCGCTCTCCTCTCCTTTTTGGTAATTGTCCACTTGTTCCTCCTCCTCCTCATTGCTCCTTCCTCTCTTTAGTGATGAGGATTGAGGTGTTGGCATTTCCTTCACCTCTACATGGAGATCCAGTTTGGGCAGTTTCAGTTGGTATTGGGCCTCTTTTACCGGCCGCTGTTGTTGCACCGGTTGCCGCTGCTGCTCTCGATGCTGCTCTCGTTGCAACTCCCGTTGCTTCTGTCGCTACTGCCGCTGCTGTCGCGCCTGTTGCTTGTCTGCTGACTTTGCAACACCTTTACCAGGGACATTCGGCTTCTGTTGCTGTTTGTCAGTGACTTTTTTCTGGGACATCCTGCTGGGGAGGTGGAGTTGTCGCCTTTGCTCACTTCTCACTACATCATTCATTATTAGGGACCTTCTTCGCGGCTTCCTTCCTGAGTTGCTTAATTAAATTAATTAAAATGCCATTTATTAAGAATTAGCTTAAAAGCCGCACTCTGTATATATTTTAAGATAGCTCCTGCGCTGGGCTAATTGGTCCTCCCGCCCAAAACTAAAGGAACCTCTGGTCCAGCTTAGAAAACCGCAATGATAATTTTGCAGAAATAAATTTGAAGTCCTCAATTCACCCCATAGAACTTCGAAATTTCACTTTTACTCAGATTCGGTTTATAAGTCCAAATCCAGTTAAAAGACCAATTTGAGCCGAATGTTCGATTTGGGCCGAAATACCAATTCAGGCCTAAAATTGGGTTCCTCGAATCACAAAGTCTGCGAAACTTCAAAACCTCGCGTCATGAAACCTCTTGCTTTAACCTTGATTCCTTGGTATTTTGAAGAAATAAAACTGATTTCCTCAACTCCCAAAGTTTGAAAGGTATTTTAAACTGAATTTAAAACAATTTTTTTTAATTCACAAAGTTTTTGTGTTACTTTAAACTCAATATAAATTAAAAACATTTTAAAATCACTAATTATATTCAGTTATCTTAAACTTTGAATTTTTAACTGTTCCTTCTTTATCCGGAAAGAAATCCCAATGCTGGATTTCAAGCATCAGATGAAGGGCAGATTTTCAAACCGGGGATCATCCTGATTCCAGAAAGCTATAATATGTTCCTGTAGAGCAAATGTGGCTCGTGTTAGAGTGTTTTCAGACACACATGCCGTTTATTTATTTAGATTTTGTCACGTATCTCTGTCTATAAAAGGCAGGATGTGTGTGTGTGTGTATAACGAATGCACGGCCCCAATTTTCGACGGATTTGCACCAAAATTTACATGCACATGCTCCAAGTTAGTGGCAAGGCCAAGACCGACAGTGCATTTTCCAACTCCAATTGATAGTGAAAATAATAAATTTTTTCATGCTTCTACGGCAGTTTTCATGTAGTTTGCGGCCATTTTGTACTGGCCAGAATGAGAGCCAATAGCTGGCTGCCACGAATAGGCAGGAAGATTCTATTGGTCAGCGTGAGAATCAATAGCTGACTGACACGAATGTTAACTAGCATGCTAGCATGCAAAAAAATCGATAGCTGCATTCGTCACAAGTGGGAAAATTTAAATTCATGGCACTTTACTCCAATTGGCTCATTCACTTGCTTAAACTCAACGTTGATTCTGATTCCGCAGAACTGGGTTGGGTGTGAAAAAAAGTATTTGTTGTTAACATTCTTTTTCATTTGGTTTTTCCAGTTACGAGTCCTTTTTAAAGCTGATCGTTTTGTGTTCATTTGTTTAGTCTTTTTTTCGTAACAGATTTAATGTTTAGTATAGAGCTTGGAAAAAATTCGCA